TACGAGTGGGTAACCAAGTTCCGTACCTTCACCCTCTACAAGCCCAAATACTGTACCAGGACCACCTATAAGATTGACATCATTCTACAAAACAAGGACCCTCCTGGGATCCAAGACCATCTTCAAGTACCGTCTTATAGCAATCAAGAGGTACATCTGCTCCTTCACAATTGGCAGCTACTACAATCCTGGTGGAATCTGGAAATAAGCTGTGATTTGTACACAATGAAGAAAAATGAACATAAAATAATTATGTATTGCATATTAGGACTTTTTTATTCATTTTGTTCTGATTAAATGGAAGTTTTTAATTAATTAATATTAAATTTAAAAAAAAACTTTAAATTATTTTCAAAATTGGCCAAAAAGTGCACCAAAAATGGCTAGAAGTGATAAGCACATACACATTGGTTAAAAGAAGTTGTCAAAATCCATTGATCAATCAATCTATAACTGATTATAGTAGTGTGCCAAATATATAGAATGTATATATTATAATGATATATATGGTTTGGAAAATACACATCTCTTTCAAAACTGCTGCCGTATGTAGTCTAGCAATCAAATGTCCTCATTGAATTGGGATTATTGATAGGATTTGGATAGATCATTGTATTTCAATGGTGCAGTTCTGCCACGACTTAGCATTATGGTAATAACAATCTATAGAGGCAATGTGAACTTTGTCTCTAAACTCTATATACTCAAATCATTTGACCCATTGGAATATTTGGATTAAAATTTGATGAAGGGGATGCACGCTGATGCACACATCAATGATTAGTAATTAATCTTTAGTTCAAAGTACAACCAGTTGCATGACCTCTGTTGCTTCTATAATGGCTTAATGAAATTAGTAAATACCAAACAGATTCCATCAATTATAATATGGAGGTGTTCGTAATAGTAAGAGGAAATTGAATTTCATTTCTTGTTATTAAGTCTAAAGCTGCTATTACCACAATAACCTCATAAGCTGTATCCTAATCAAAGCTAGGTCTATTAATAAAGGTTTTACACACCATACATGTAAATTGAAAACTATTACTAAAACTAATTGGAGTCTGAGTTAACAATAATTATGTAATGAAATTTAAGAATTTTAATCTTTTCATTAGTGCTTTACAAGAGTCTTTGCATTAAAAAGTCACTAAATCATGAGGTAAATATCATGATTATTTCTATACTGGTGATGTACTTGTTGACATATCTTTGAGTCAATTAAGAGACAGTGAGTAGTAGCTACCTCATGTTGACTTTAAAATGTGCAAACAACTTGTATAGGTCACATTGACAACATTCCATGAAAACAAATTATAACAGACTGTCAAACAGTGATACATCATTAATCAGTTTAAAGCACCCTGTTATCACATTAGACTATCAGTAATGCACTTAGGACTTGCACAAATGTTGTAGATGGCACATGGTATGACTTGATTATACCCAAACTGGCAACAGTGAGAATTCAGAATCAGAAAAAACAATGACAACAGTACATTCAAAATCAAATCAATGGTACAAGTTGTTTCCTTGATGACAAGACTATAAATTGAGGCTGAGCTCTCTAAGTTGGTCATCTATTCATTAGAAGCAAACAGACTTCGCTAGAAATAGTCTATACAGTCTAACTCTGCTAAAATGATAAAAGCTATTTGTGTTTTACTGCTCCTCTTATGTGCTTGCCAGGCATTTGGAGAAGGTACACTGTGCACATTTCAATAAGTAATAGTAATTTACATATTATTATTGTTTTATAGGACCAGCTAATGACAATGGTAAATGTTACACATATTTTAGTATTTTATTTTTATTTTTTAACTTTGCAATTAAAGGTTTTGAACAAGATCTGGAGAATGGCTTTGATGGAAGTAAGAATGAATTATTACAACACATTATGTTTCATTAATAATTTTTTTAGTGAATAATGGTCAAGAGGCTGATACTAATGTTGATGAACGTTTTAATGGAGATGCTCAAGGTAGAACTATAGCTTTGTTATATTTTAGTTTATTGCTATTACTGTCTCTATTACTGTACAGAACATGATGAGCTTGATTCTGATGAAATAGGTACAATATAATATCATTTGGTTGCACTAAAACTTTATCATTTTTTCTCCCAATA